CTCGTTTATGTTTTAAGAAAATATACAAAAACATACTAATTGTTTTAAATATACTCTAACTACAAAGCAAACATCAAATGAATAAGGTTAGAAATAAAATGCGTGATGTAAAGATAGTTTGACAAATGAATACCTGAATTTGATGATTTTGGAGTAGTGAATGATTTAACGAAGGTTGTTTATATATATCCACACAACTATAGATGATTTTCTCATCTAACTATAAACAAAAAATTGGAGTTCAATAATCATAAATTAATCTACAAATATTAGTTTAAGGCTTGTATATGTGTATATACATATATTTAGGATTCCTCTCTTAATTTACCTTATAGGATTTCAAATCTTTTATAGTTTCTGTAGATTGAGCTATAGAAACTGTGGATATGAATGCAATGAGTTTGAGAACGAAATCCATGAACTTAAGATCAATATTCTTAAAATCTTATTAAGTTTTTCTTGTTAGATCTACATTACACCCAAATATATAAGTAGTTATAATAGTTAAGGATGTACAATCCATGTTTTCATGGGTCCATCAAAGTCTTTATTGTATAAATAGTTATAATAGTTAAGGATGTACAACCCTTTAATGTTCTGATTTTTTTTTTCAGTGTTTTTATCCTCTTCTAGTATACAATTTTTAATTAATTGTATTTACTTTACATCTCCATAAAATGATTTTCTCCCTCTTTATTGGTCCACCTTAAATTTTTGAATAAAAATATTAAATCCACTGAGATTTTTAGTATAAGAAATTTAATATGAGAAATTCCCACATTAATTTGCTTAATGTGTATATTTGCATTGTTAGAAGAAAAAAAATTAGTATCTCTTTAGTCTTTACTGCTCCACTTTACTTTAAACAAAAAAAAAAACACAAAATTAATCCACTGAGATTTTCTTATGTAAGAAATTTAATGTACACATTAATTTTGTTTTCATACAGACTTGGGCCTAACTCAAGATTTTTTTTTTGGCATTAGATGCGAAATTGGCGTAAAATCTTTGAAATCCATGATCCCAAAATGTTCCTTTTTAATGTTCCTTTTAAGAATAAGGAACTACTAAATTGATAAAAAAAAAAAAAAAGGAACTACTAAATTATTGGTATTATTCTTGCATATCAAGTTATCCAAGGGGGAAAAAGGTGATTTTGATCAACTTAATTGGTTTATCATTCACGAACATATGTTATTTATACTTAGTGGGTCTACATGTTCCATTGACCACCAAAGACGTAGGACATAAACTCTGCTACGTTCTATTTCTCTTCACATTGTTGAAATTTTCTTGTAAGAATCAGATACTAGCATCTTGATATTTGCATATTCTTTCAAGAAATCGAAAGACGAGAACGAGTGCGGCGGAAGAACAACCATCAGATCCTCCTCCTCATGCATCTCCATCAAGCTTTCATGTGGCACAATCTGCAGAAACAAAATGACTTAAGCAACATTTTTTCAAGATTCATCAAAAGAAGAATAACTCATGTACGTGATTGATTCTTCATATGTATTACCATCTCTGGATTTGAGAAGGAATTCTCATCCATCACATTGGTAGATGTAAGTACTTTCTTCTTGTATCCAGAAACTCTTGTGATCCTCGAGTCCAATCCGGTCATCGATACCTTCAGATTCACCGTTTTGTCTCCAAAGTTCACAGCCTGCAAATATGAGGATCATCCCAAAACATTAGTTTCACAAGAACCTTGATCTTTATGTGTGAGTGTGCTAAAAACACAAACCTTAATCTGTACGTAATCTGAGCCATTGGTTTGGAAGGAGATGGCAGATGCTTCGACATAAGAAGAGTTTCCATTGAGTGTAGAATTGAGAAGAGTAGCTCCACTTGAATCTGTGAAGAACTGTTGGATCCAATAGCTAGGAGTTCCATACAAATGAGAGGAATTGAAAACTATTGCATCCGGATTCCACCTGAAAATAACAGAGCAATTTTTCGATTAAACCGTTCAAAGTGAAAATGTGACTAAAGTGAGAGAGATACCTTCTATTGTTTGTGTTGACGAAGAGAGGTGCATAACTTGCCATTCCAACAATGTCACTGCAACCAAAAACAAGACAGTAGCTGCTTTCACTCTTGCTATGTGGTTGTTGTCAAAACCCGAGAAGACGATAAAAGTGTTAAAGAAAAAAACCTGTTCTTTTCCAAACCAAGGAGGAACCCTGCTTCCCCAAGAGCCGCGAGAAGGTTTCCAGTACCAGCATCTGTGCTGTTTACAGCATATTCACTAACAAAAGCCTGCAAGTGATCCATAATTATGTTGAAGAACATTATAGGCAAAGAAGCGGGTTTTATGTCGAAATGAAGTCTTTATTACCGCACCTTTGGACCATCGCGCGATGTACTGTCAAATTTATGGGACATAGAAAACAAGTCCTTGGCAAGAGTGTAAATCTGAAAGGAACAAAAAAATATAATAATTTTTCAAAAAAACATTGAGATGCATAAACAGAGTTTTGATCATATTTTTAAACGGTATTTTTTGTATGTTTTACGTGATAATCGTAGTAATCAGCAGGGTGATCAAGCGGTTGAGATGATCCATCGCAGTTAGAGATTATTTTGATGTCTGGATAAGCATTTTTGATAGCATTATAGAACTCAAGATAGTTTCCTGAAGAAAAAAAAGTTGTGTATCATCTAATTTCTGTTTTCTTCTTTTAAAATTGTTGAAAACAGAGAGAAATGCAAAAACCTCTGTAGTATGGCCTGACACAATCCTCATTTCCGACCGCAACATATTTCAGTTCAAAAGGCTCTGGATGTCCCATTGCAGCTCGAATTGATCCCCATGGAGAATTTGAATCACCACGAGCAAACTCGATACCATCAAGCGCTTCCTGAAACCGAGGAAAAAAACACATATTAGTAATCAACTCTCTAATTGTTAAACATAGAGTTTTCATGAGGATGAGTACCTGAACAAATGGCATGACACTTGCTGTTTCAACTGCATCAGTGTGACTGATTCCTGCAACAGTTACACATTGGTAAATAATACATGTAATGAAAAACAAAGTTTTGAGATATTGAGCTTAAGAATATACCATTGTTAAACACCCATATTGGAGCTGCACCAATATCTTCAGCCAACTGCAAAAATATTTTAAGACCTTAAGAGGAATGATTTGAACTTAAATATGGTTACATTTCGAATGATACCGAAAAAAAGAAAGAATGTGGACTGACTTGAAAGAATTCAAAGTGGCCAAGGCCATCATCAGTCCAGTAATTCCAATTATCACCATAATGGCCAGGTCTCTCTTCCCAAGCTCCCACGGTTTCTTTCCAGCGAAATGCATGGCCTAACCATACACCTTCCACAAAACAACCACCTAATATTCATAAAGGATTGATCAAGTCTTTTAGTTTGCAAGATGAGATGAAATGAAATGGTATTTTGGCTCATTAGAAATTACCCGGGAAACGGATGAAACGGGGTTTTAGATCAGCCATCATCTTGAAAAGATCATTCCTGAAACCATGTCCCTGTGACCAACCAAGAAAACCATAAAAATTGTATTGTTTTTTCAGATTTTGATTACGCAGACTCTATACATCATTTCTCAAAAGAAGTAAAACAAACCTTGTAAGTATCCACAGGCATGGCTGAGACTTGGTCAAACCAAACTGAACATTTTTTGGTAGTTGTTAATTGAAGTCTTGCACTATCATCCGTTCCATTTGCCTCCAAAAGCACTTCCTTTTTAGTCCAGTTTGAAACATCAGAAGCCAAAGCTCTGCAACAAGTAAACAATTAACCAAACAGTTTTACAGAAAATCACTGAAAAACAAGAAAAAGTATCTAAGAATGTAAAAGTTTGTATCTCTAACATAATTTTATCTGAAGCAAGGGTCAATGATCCATTCGAACTTGTCAATGACACAGACACATCGATGTCCCCAATCGAACGCACATAGAGCACCACTTTGTATTTCTTCCCTTGTTCAATGTTCTAATGGCAAAAAAGATAGAAGGAAATGAGTAAAAGTCATCAGAGGAGATAACAAACAGAGAAATAATTTAAATTTCAATTGAGAGTATAAGAATGTACCATGCCCCAATAACCCGGGTTATAAACCCCGACTCCTTTCGATGGACAACTATTGCTGTCACAAAGCACATCCATTCGAAGTGCGATTTTGTTGCGGTCAAAACATGAAGAACGGTCTGTAACTACATAAATGGATGATTTATCTCCAATAATGGACCAAGGAGAGATATTGGAAGGGATGTTTTGTCCACCAGCTTCAAATCCTGGAACCAAAGGATTTAAAACTAAGAGCTTTGTTTTTATAACCATTCAATTTACATGATAATTTAAACAAGAAACAGAACCTCTGTTGCTGACAAGTTCCGACCACAGTCCACCAGCTCCAGCATGATTGATTTCCTATCAATAATTGCATCAGGTTCAGAAAAATTTAAACATTAGTACAAGTAAAATTACAAGAAATTTAAGGGTAAGTCCAAGATTCATTTGAATATAAAAAAACAGAAAAGTCATGAATATTGTGCAAAACCTCAAAGAAGATTCCGAAAAGGGTTTCAGGAATGGGTCGTCCAGTGGTGTTAGAAGCATCTACTTGCAGTGTCACATTCAGGTTTTTGGCGTCTTCTCGAGAATCAACAACACAGAGGGTTTGGCAGACAGAGCAAGAGCAAAGGAGAAATGAAAGTATGCAAACACTTCTGAGGAACTTCCAAGAAGACTCCATGTCCATCATCACCAAATCAGAGATCAATGCAAAGACCTTACAGAGAGAAATTAGGTAATTTAATTGAAGAAATGATGATGACATTAGACAAAATGTAAAAGAAGATAAAACCATGAGAGTATATAAATTAGATAATCATCATTATCTTGTCCTCACAGATGAATCACAGAAAATTTGGGTGAGATTAGATCAAAATTGAGAAAATAAACAAAACTTGAGAGGAGACACTATAATGAGTAAAGCATTGTGTGCTAAACACAACCGTTGATCCATTTTCAAAATTTCAGACATAATTTGTCCCAAATGTCCAAAGAAAAATCTGGTCTTAACAATTGGTAGATCAGAAGAAGTGAAGAACTAAGAAAATGATTACAAAAGCAAAAAGGAAAAAACAACAAAATTTCAAGACAAAGAGAAGAACAAGGTTGATAAAAGAACACAAAAGAACCATTATGGAAGAGACAAAGATTAAACATGGAATCAACTAAAAAGGTACCGTTGATTGAAGAAGGACACAAAATGTTTAGCAAGGAGAGAAGTAAAACGAGGATTGTAAGTAACAATACAATGGTTTGGTGGAGGTTTGCTTTATAGGCGAAATCGGCAAAAGACTTTTGCTTGCACGTCTCTTTAATTTCCTTATATTCATGCAAGAGTGGAAGTTTGGTAGAAATGAATCAATGATGACTAGTGAAATTGAAATTTTCATCCATGTCGTGTTTTTTTTCTCTTTTTAGGATAATTTTTTTCATATTCAGATTTTTATTTCCCATTAAAAAAGGCAAATCGCATTGAATACTTGCTCAATATATATCATTGGATACTTGGTCAAGATAAAAACTCACTTGTATAAAGAAGTCAAGAACCTAACCATTATAAGCAATATCAC